TTAGTGGAGAGGAATTATTTATATTGCATTGTTTTCAAAATGTATGTAGTGATATGAAGGGAGCAGTTATTCTAAAGTCTTCTCACAACCTGGAAAAGCAAGGGCAGAGTGCTGATTACTACTTTTATGTCTAACCTCAAGCTATGTTATTTCTGCTGGTCTATGTGTAGATGAACAAACAGAGGCTAAGCATGAAAAATATTGCATCATTTTAAAATAATACTGTGGATTCAGAAACTGCTGAAATACTAACGTTCCTTAAGTAATATCAGACTGGAAAAATCCCTGGTGTTACAGTGTCAGAACATTGGTGGTGGTGAATGCTAATGAGAAACTACCTCAGAATCAAGGAGCTGCCACTCTGCCCATTATGGTTTCTTTAAGGCTGTAGTCAAGATAAAATATTACATTTATTACTGTGGTATAGAAGAGGATTAAATCATGACATAACTCTGCCAGTTAATTAACTTGTTTAAAGTAATGGACTTTACACATAGGGTTACAGATGTGCAACATTCTCCAAACTTTTTTTTTAAGAAGAGAATGGTAAGGTTGGGGGAAAATTCAATAGGTAAGTATTTCTTGACTCAAAGTAAGTAAATAAATAAAAATCGTCGTTACTATGAATACATATGTTTTTTAAATATTAAAAAAAAAAGGTTTTGAAATGAAAGGCACCTGTTTGGTTGTCTTTCTGTGTTGTTTTGTTGTTGTTCTTTGTTTTGTTTTTGTTTTGTTTCTTTGCAGTTTTGTTTGTTTGTGTGTTTATTTTTTTATACCTTGATCATATCTGATGATTCTGAGTAACAGTTTTGGGTGAAACAGCCCTGCAGCCTTACTACTAGGCTGCAGTTTTATAAATTGAGTTAATTGATCAGCAGTTACTTAAAGGCACCTGGTGACAGGTTTAGTCTGTCACTTAGACAGGATTTGTTCATACTGTTCATCCAGAAATTATTTTATTTATAGCAGTTCTAGAGTAATATAAAGCTATACTAGCAAAACCTTTTTAGGCTATGCATCTACAGCTGCACAACTCTTTTAATAGTAAGAAAGAATCTCCAAAAAGTGTAACTTAGCCAGTATTTTTATTGTGGCAATTATTTCTAGTGGTCTAATTATAAATGTTAGTGCAACTATAGCCTGAATGTTTGTTCCACAGCATATGGTTTATGTCAATGTGTTTCTAAAAAATAAAACAAATGGTTTTCAGTTGACTCTACGTGAAGCAATTTCAACTCTGCTAGAAATTATTTATCTATTGTAGCATTTATCTTGCAGGCATTATTGCACTGGTTAAATATTTCAGCTGGTAATACAGTTCTGAAGGACAACATTTTTGTTTAGATAGACCACAGGTACATTTACTTAAATCAATTGGTTTACATGTACTTGCCAATTATAGTAATCGCGCAGTGGATGTATTTATCTACAAATTGAAGGTCAGCTCCTATAACTGTAAGTGAGGTACATTGGCTTTTTCTGCTTTACTAGTTTTATCTTTAATCACACTTACAGAGAGTCCTTAATGGGTTCTGAGATCCAATAATTGAGGTGGTAAGGTTAATGGGGCATCTTGTTATGCTACATATTTTTGTTGCAAATAATTTTATATATTAAATACGTGAAATCTTTGCCATAGGAAAGTGAGCCAAGAATTTGAATTGCTAACAAAGGTGGTTTCAGCTGATGGCTGGTAACATAAATGAAAGAAGTCAAAGAACAAAGAAAGCAGCTGTCTTTAGAGAATGATGCAATGCTAAGATATAACCACTCTGAAAGCTGACAGTGAATGATTTTGTCTAGTGATGGAAGATCTGAGGAAGTTAAAATAACAATGTTTAGAACCTGCACTTGTGATTATCTTAATTAATCCTGTAAAAGACAGGAGATACTAATATCCATTCCATGTCTTTTATGTATGTGACCTTACCCACCATACCCAGATCTTTTGATCACTTCTCCAGCTTTGGAGATGCTGAGCATTGTTTCCACTTCAGTGCAGAAATAAAATTTACATAGAGACAAAGAAATCTTTTATGCAGAATAAGAGCCATTGTCTAGAGCATTCCCTGTCAGGATAATTTCTGAGATAATTTCGGTTAAGTGGTCCATTTGGTAAAGATATAAGGTTATTTTCTCACTCAGCCACCATCCTTCTGAATTTATGCTACAGGAACAACTCACAAACTTGGTTACCTGCTGCAACCCTAGCCGTGTCCTTTAGTGATCTTGTGTCTCTCAGAAGACATTTCCAATGTTGGCCATAGTACAGAGAATTTCCTCTGTCAGGAGCTGTTCTTATAATACATCAAATGGGGCACTGCAAGGAAGGTGCATGCAATCCTTAAGACGTGCAGCATTCCAAATTATCTCTTCTAGGAAAACTCTGCCAGCTGAAGGGATGGTAGTTGTCTTCTCCACAGCACCCAAGCAAAGTCTGTGCTTCCCTCCCTGCCACCTGCGCTGATTACCTGCTTACTGGGCCAGCAAAGCACTTGATTTACACTCAGAATTTACTCGCTGTGCACTGCAATGTTTAGAGAATTGAAGAAAATGTGCTGTTCAAAAAGCAAGATGTACTGTGCTTTTGTACAGCACTGATTGTCAATAAAATGTAATTTAGCTAAAACAAAAGTAGTGATTGTCAATAAAGTATAATTTAGCTAAAACAAAAGGCACATTTCTGTCAAAAAGCTTCCGCTGTAATAGAGGCAATAGAAGTGGTCTAGATATTCACATTACGAAACATTATGAAAACTAGAGTTGTTTTTTTAACGTTCAAACTCTCATGTGCAAATTTTCAAACAGAATGGCAGCATGAATAGTAGACATTTGTAAAGTTGTTAGCAGCTGAAAGTTGTGTTAAAGAACATTAATTAAAAATGCTTCTGCTAGTGTGCTTCTGTATATGTGCTTCTACAGGTACTGAAATGTGTACATCAAACTCTGAAAAGGGTTGCCACAGAAACCCGCCTGTGTGTATCGAGTACCTTTCTTAGTCATTTGTACATAAAATAGACAGAAATGTGTCTTTTAACAGTCAGATCATCCATTCCCAGGACATAAGCAATTCCCTGTGATATGATGAAATTTATTTTAAAAAATAAAAAGGAACTAAATGTAGCATGTCATCATTTAGATCAAGACTGCAGGAAAAATGGTCCTGTTCAGTGAAATGTACCGGAAACGTTTAGGAGATCAGAATATGTTTCAGTACTGTTAAACAGAGAGAGAAAGGATCGGCATGAATTCTCTCATTTTCATTCGAATTTTTAATATCCAGCAACTTCCAGGACTTTCATTTGTATTTTCCCAAAGGGGTATATACAGAGTGAAAGAAATAACAGGTCTGGGTTTTGATGCAGCTCCCAGAGTTAGCCCAAATCTGCAAGTGTGCAGCATACAGAGAGAAGACCTGTTCACAGTCTTACTTAAAGCTGCTTAACAGCTTAAAATGATAAAAAGTCCTTAACACAATTTAAGAATTTAAACCACTTAAAATGTTAGAAACAGCTTGTGAGTTGGAAAGGTTTTTCTTTGGCGACGGAGCTGGCAGACTCTCACAGGGCATGCAGGTAAAGGGGCACTTCGGGACCAAGCCTGGGAGGCCTGGAGGTGACATGGTGGAGAAGATGGAAGAGTTCTCTAAATATTTCTATGTGGGTTCTATGTGGGTTTATGTCTATGTGCCTAGATTGCTGTGCTTTCAACAGTGTTGTGTGGAACGTTGCAGTGGTGTAAGGTGTAACTAGTGGGATAGCCCCAGTGAAAAAAGGAAGAGGGTGACAGAAAAATATTGTCTGTGGCAAGTCTTCAGCTGTGGAAAACAGCTTCAGATCATGGGCCAAAGGAAGACTGCCTGGGAGCATTTTGAAGAGATCTTCTGCAGGAGCTGCCAGACAAAATGCTTTGCTTTTACAGTTCCAAGAGTTGGCATTGAGTGGGAGGTGGCATGAGTGGGCCTTTCAGATGCTTTGAAGAGGATTTTTTTTTCTTTAATGAAAGGTTGTTTGGGGAAAAAGGAATTGGGTGACAGAGGCATGAGGGGTTGTTTTAGTTTAGTCTCACCCAGACTTAGTTGGTAGCTCATATGAGAAGCATCATGTGCGTTTGTGTGTGTATGCGCAGATGGAAAATACTGTACCATTGCAGCAAGTGAGACTTGGGGACAAAGGAGGGGGGCACACGAATGGAAATCAGTGGCTCGTGGAAAACTGATCGGATGCTTCTTTTGATGGTAGTGATGCCCCTTTAAATGTTTTGAAACTTGGTTTGTTTTTCAGTGACAGAGGCAGTGATTTACACCTTTCTGTGCAGAAAAGGCTGTAAAACAGGAGTGAATTACATTCTGTACAATTTGAAAATAAATGATGCATTCACAGTCACTCAGGTTGAGGCCCATTTACACTTCCAGAGTGGTATGATGATGAGTAAATGAAAGCTAGCCCTGTGTGTGAATGAAAAATGTCTGTTTTACCAGAGGCTGTGAAAAGAGAGAAAGAGATGGTGACTAGTACTTACTGGAAATCAGAACCGAGACTTTTATTTGTTTGTTTAAAACGGTGGTATTGGTTTGGAGTTGGATAGAATATTGGTGGTACTATAAACCAGTCCCACTGAGTTCTGTGACATTTTGCTAGTGATGCTAGGTGTTTATATTTGCATTCTTAGTTTCATCCTGTGCTTGAGGAGGTCTGTATTACATTCCCTTCTTGTGCAAACTTGGCACAATAATGTTTAGTGTGGATATTATTTAACCAAAAATAAATAAATAAATCTTTACTGAGGTAAAAAAGAGGTCAGGTATGATTAATGTCATATGATTTCATTTTAATTAAATTACTCTTTGGTTTTCCTTTATGATGAAGGCAAGAGATATGCAAATTCTACTTGGTATGGTTCATTTTGACTAAAGATAGACATATAAACCATTTAATGAATTAAATTTCAGTCGCGTGTTATGTAACACTAATATCTCAATATTGCTTGAATTTCAGAACATTTCAGGATCTGTCCAAACAAATGGATATTTCTTATGGTACAGTCAGGGATTCAGCAGTGTATGAATACTTTAAAGCAAAAGGGACAAACCCTCTGGAGCAGGATAACACATTTGCTGAACTGTGGAGGACAATCAGTAAGAATAATGGGGCAGATAATTGTGTATCGAACCCTTCTGAAGGCATCAGAAAGGTAAGACTGGATTACAGGGTTCTTTATTTAATTTTTGTGCTGCATCAATGCTGTTTGCATGAAGTTAATAATGTTAAGTCCCATTAATGCAATTACACTGGAACTTCAAACAAAAATATCCTTATCTAAAGTTTCTTTTAGTAACTTAATAGCAAATAAGTAGCATATTCTGGAGTCATGGATTTGAATTTAAGTACTTTAGCTCTGCCTAAATTTCCATTATTAAGGTCGTTCTTTGGCTCTGGCCATAAGGTTTCTAGCTTTCTTGGGCTCTCTGGAAATACTCCTCTTCAATATCATGCTTTGTATTATCCAGGTATTGACACTTGTCCTTTGCTCACTTTATGTGTGTGTTTGTAAATTTTGTTTTGTTTTTACCTGAGGATTAAAGTAGGTATTAGAAACATGAGCAAAAATTAAGAGATTCACTGAAAATGTACTAATTTTTCGTAGAACGGGAATTTCATGCAAAGTGTTGTTTATTCCAGGCTTAAAATAATAATAATAATAATAATTAAAAAAATATATATATATGCATATACTCTTTTACCTGTCAGCATGCTTTCACCTAGCTTTAACTTCTCTCATATATGACTGTGCAATTGTTTTGGTGAAACTGAGCATTGATGTTGGAATCAAGATCTGATATACACATAATAGCTTGGGATTCTATATGCTTGTGCTTAGTCCTGTGACGAACAGCCCTGGGTGAGATTAGGAAAATACAAATGTCCACACTTTTTCTGGCACCCTTAGTTTGCCACTCTTCCTGTCTGCTTTCCATCTTGTAGCTCAGGAAATACAGGTAATAAATAACACCAAACCACATGTTTCTGGGAGTGCTTTATGGCAGAAGGTACACAGAAGTAGTCAAAGTTTAATGTGCTTCTCCTTTAAAGAAAAGTGTCTCCTTTATTTGTCAATTGACCTTTTTTCATGAAACAAGAAAACAGTTGTTATTAAAGTCTTGATTATTTGATCAGATTTATTCTGTTGTCAATGAAACACAGATTTGGAACAAATATCTTATTAGTTCCTCATGCTTTTGTAAGTGAGAAATAAGAACGTTTTAGGGCTTCAGTTATTTTATTCTTTAGAATTTTTTCTCAACAGTCATAGGGAAAGCATCCCCTATTTACTGGGTTTTACAATGTAATTACAGGGATGAACACAGTGGCACAGGTCATTCCATTTGCAAATCAAAGTCCTTTATCATAAAATTTCCAATTGTTTGTGTGGTTTCTGCATAAAATCCTTATTTTATGGGAGAAAGACTTGCCTCTCCCAGTAAAGGAATATTTAGTTAACAATTTTGGTTCACCCTCCCTGTTCTCCCACCTCCTAGCTGAGCTTCCTAAAGCTCTATGAACTTGACTTAAATACCCTTTCTTCCTTTGTACAAGGCAGAAACCTGGCTATAGTCAAGTCTGTGTTTTTTGTTTTTGTTTTTGTTTTTTTAATCTGTTCATCATTTTGTGAAAATTAAGCTTCTATTTTGAGACTTTCTAAACATTTATAAGAAAGTAGAAATAGTGCAAATAGTGCTATTAAGTACTTACCTAGCTAACATGGCATTAAAAACAATAATAAAACAAATTACCTCAGGAAAAGGTACATTATTTTACTTCTTTTTATGTTTCATTTTATTTTATTTTATTTTGTTACTGTTCTTATGTCAGCGGATAGTCTCTACCAGTGAGACTATAAATACTCTCATTCTGTAAGCCAGTTGTATGCTGCCATTTATTATAGCTAGATTTGGCTAAGCCTTAAATGCAGCTGTAGACTAGCAAGCTGTTTAGACTACCAACTGCATTGTCTTTAGGGAGCTGGCTTCTCTGTCTCATGTAAGTGATAATAACTTTTTTATATTAAGTTTGATTTTAATGTTGTAGGGTGATTTTTATATAGCTTGATCAGCTCATTCAATTAATGTCAATGACAACCAAATTTACTTCAGTCCCCAAAGCTGACCAAAGCTGCTATTTGATTAGACACATAAATTGGGCTTAATATTTAATAACATTGTCAGCTGAACACTCATGTTTATAGTTTAAATGTCACTCCTGCTAGCTCATTGAGCTTTTTGAATAAAGAGACAAGTTATCTGTATCAAATATTATGGTTAGAAATTCTGTCTTTCTAAAGAAGAAATGATGTCAGCAAGGGAAATTGGACTTTCCATCCGTAAACACATACTGCTGCATGAAAGGGATGTAAATGTACCTTAAAAAATGTATTGTATCGGAAAAGGGAAGTCTAAATCCCTCTAGCATATAAAGATACCTTAGTCATTTCTCTGAATGAGGACTTGCCTGACACAATGAAAAAAAAAAATCACAACTATATTACCCTTTCTCCTCTCCTCCCCCTTTACATTTTCTTCATACAGCAACACAGTGCAGCTGCAGTTACAAAAAGAATGCTGCTTTGATGCAAAATTGGAGAGTATTGCTTATTTATGGTACAGGCAGGTATTTCAGTTGTTTGTCTCAGTTCGATTTACTTCTCTTCATTTCCCAGAGATGTTCCTGCTCCCCTTGACTGTCTAAAAACAAAAGAACAATAGTAGAAGAAAGTCCTGAAAGCTTTTGTGGCATTTGGTTGCCATGGAAGAGGTTGCTTTTTCAGACATAGCACAGTCCCTGTAGCCACAGTGGCCATCTCCTATTGTCAAGACACAGCTTTTTCAACACAAATACAGCCACGGAGAGGGCATTAATGTGCTGCAAAGTCATGTAAGCAACAGAAATACATTTCAGAGCTGAGGGCACAAGTTGCTTTTGTTGTACTCCCAAGGCAATTGAAAGTGGTCATTGTACATGTAAAATGTCCTCCTTTTCATAAATGTCTCTGCATAAAGTAAGAGGTGGTTGCCAGACAAATCACAAGTCCACACAAAATGTTATTTTGCCACTTGAATTTTCTGGTACTACAGAAGGAGATTGACTAATGCTGTTGCGTGGAAAGTTTCTTTCTGGGTCAAGCTATAGCCAGGATCCCCCCAGATGTGTGCTGTGGGTAGCTCCCGCAGCCTTATCAATGTTGGTTTGGGAGCAGCATACGTTCCTAATCCAATTGCAAATCTGAATAAGGTGTTTGCGAAATACCCCGTGGCAATTGGTTCTTTAGGATAATTATTTGCTATCATGACTTTCCGAATAACCTGTAGCTTTTTCCATTGTGAGCAGCCATTTTTGCTTTGAAAGAATGAAGTGATATGGTCCCTATATACTCCCACATCTCCCACATACATCTTTATATATATATATATATATATGAAAAAATTAAATTGTTATTGTTGTGTTTTTCAAAAGCTTTCCTTTGATGGAGACGGTTTGTTCCCCTGTCCAATCAATTTGGTGCCAAAATTGCTCTGAATCCGTTCTTTTCCTCCTGTGTATTGCTTTTGATGAAGTGATCAAAACCAAGTACAGTACAAAATGCGAATGTATCATTGATTTATGCAACAACACAGTAAGAGTTTATTCCTTCCCTTTTTGCTTCATTCAAAAAGTTTCTCTTCTTTAATGAACAATAAACATTGTGAGATCTTTTCTTCTTGAACAAGCACCTCTCCATTTTTATTTTGAGAGTACAAGTAATTTAAAAGTTCAATGAATAGGATTTTCTGAAGTCTTTTTTCCAATATTGTCCATGCTGAATTTTGCATTGTGAATTGTTGTGGCTCATCAGTGTGTTTTCATGGGTCCTCGTAAATTTCTTCATTTCTTGACCCACCAGCCTTTGGAGTAAAAGCAAATGCCCAAATATATTACATCTTAAAGCCCAACTATATTACATCCTGTAGTGGCTCCTAATTATATTATTTTTTACAGAATTTCAACAAGATTAAATGACATGTTCTCTCTTTAGTAAAACTGTTGCTTTTCTTATATCATTTTTAAACACAAAATAAATGTTATCTGAGCCTGGTTTTGAACCGTTCCTCTAGTAACAATGTAAAGGTCACTTTCTGATATTTCTGTGCCACTTAATGGGATCAGCTATCATGACACTTCATTTTTGGCTGTAGATTAATGATGAATGTAGCGTTATTCCACTTTTTTCTTCAGTGTGGTAGCTTCCTGTAAAGTTTCAGATGAATCACAGACATATCAGTGATGAATTTGAAGTTCATCTTGTTTCAAGTTTTATTATTTCTTACCAAGTTTTCTTGAAAAAACATAATTTTGCAGTCAATAAACCAGGGTCCTTGGAAAAATATTCTTCTGTCTCCCTCCATGTTGAAGCACAACATTATGAGATTGGCTACTGCTTTTCAGAAGTATTACTATTCTCTTTCTTGTCCTTCTGTCTAGAAGGCAATCTTTATTGGCCTTTTCATTTTTCATGATTGTGAAGAAAAATTTTTAATGCAAGTTTCTTTTTCTCTGAAATCTGTTTTCTTAAACCTCTTGAATCAAAGATAAATCTGGTGTCTTTGGTGTTAACCACTACAGTAGTTCCAGCTGGGTGGAAGAAACGAGTGCTTCTTTGGCTGAATTTCTGTTAAAGATGTTTTTGAAAGTTTAACTCTGAGTTATTTCTGTTTTGTTCTGCAATATGTCTGCATGCTGAGAGTCACAAAAAGGCCATAGAAAAGGAGGAGAATATCAAATCCAATTTGAAGTCTGAAGTATAAATTGTATCTTATTATTCTGTTTCATTTCAGTCATTCTTTATTCAAGTTATCTTACCTATTCTCAGCTGATATTTGCCACATTCCCTTTTACCCTCTCTTTCTCTATATTTTCTTTGCAATGATGTCTGATCACTAGAACATTTTGATTCTATTTTGGGCCCTAAAACATATAATTCAGGCTTTAGATGGCTAAGCTGTGAATGCAAGAGCACAAGGATATGGAGCTTTGCTGCACTGCGGTCATGATGAGTTCCATGGATAGGTACACCTCAGTACAGTGTCATATGAAAATAGCATAGCTATGTTTCCTGCCCATACATCCAGGTCAGCCCCTGGTATGGCCTATAATTCTTAGTCCTTCTACCTCCTCCTAGCTGTCACAACAGCTATTAGGGGAATGGGAAGCATGCTGAATTTAGACAGCAACTAAATGTTTGGTCATAAGGAAGCTTTCTATGCAATGAGCACTCTTAATAGTATGAGATCTCTACTCTTCAGAGAAAAAAATGCCACAAGTGGAAGAAGTTTTGGAAGGGAAAAATCTTCCCTGAGGGAAGAGGAATCTTTGGAGAGTCATTTTTTGATAATCAGAGAGGGGAAGCAGTCTCACATTCAGTATTGCTGGAAGATAAGAAGTATACCTAATTAAGAGTTTAAAGCTCAGATTCCTACTTATTTTAAAATGGTCAAGATGTCAGAGAAATAGTGCTCTACAGTTGTGACGACACTGTGTAGGATTATTTGTCATAAAAATATAAAATTGATACAAGATAGACCTGGTAGACTGTTTATTAATACTTACATTGGTAGGTCATAGGATAGCAATATTGCAAGAGGAGTAGACCTTGTTAAAAGATCTGTCTAACCTTGAAAGTCAGTGTACGAAGCTCTTCTGCATAAAATAAAGTGCAGAAAACTGGGGGCTTGAATGGTAGAATCAATAATGTGATTTTTCTCTAGACATTGCCTTATAATTGAAATCGAATATTTGAGGAAGACTGTGTTCCTCAAGTATTAGTAAGAAAAAGATGATGAATATAGGACATGTTGTCAATGTTCTTTTTTTGTAAACTGTTAATTTGAAAATATGATTTATGGAACAATTCTGAAACAACTAAAAGACAGCCATTTTAAAAAAATCAAAACATTTTAGCACAGTGACTTAGACAAAATCTTTTTTTTTTCTCTTTCTGTACATATATCAGGCTATTTTTTGTTCTCTAGCAACACAGATTTTGAATAAATTCTGTGCAGAGTAACAAATGCTATTGTCTTTGGTCCCGTGACTATGTGCCTTTTAATGCAGCAGAGCTTGCACACTGTTTTCTATCATAGGTAATAAAAGCCTGTGTACTCTTTACCATAGAACGCAACCTGAGATGTGCACAAACAGGGCTTGTGATGGTCCTTCCCTGCCAGGAACGCCTGTGGGATTAACGCCCATCCCTGACCAAGTAGGAGGCCTATCAGCACAATCACAGATTTGAAAGCATGAAATGAGAAATGTTAAAGCCCATCACAGGAAGAGCAGAGGGCAAGATGCAGAGGTTTGCTGATAACAACCCAGTTAGTTATGGGTACATGATCATTCAGAAAATACCTTTGAAAAACACATTTTAGGCTTTCAAGAGTATACGTTGCCAGCTGAATATAGGCTAAATGCCTTGAGGAATCCCTCCCTCGCCATCCTTTATTTTTTACGCATCCTTGTGTTGATAGGTTATGAAACCTTTTCTGGCTGTCACATACAGTAAACAGAGATGTATTTGTTCTTTCCTCAGTTCCACCACCATTATTAGTTCATGTAGACAGCCAGGGATACTGGTGTGGAAGTCTTACTCTGGTCTGGTTTCAAACAGTACCATTTAAGTGAGAGAGATTTTTTTGAGCATGCTTTTTAGTAAGTTGTGTCAGTTAAATAAATGTATGAATTTAAAAGTAAGCTCTTTTTTTTTTTTTTTTTTTTTTTTAATTGTGTAATCCCCATGCTGTGTTTTAGACTTCAATGATGTTTTGAAGTAGTGTAGCAATTGTTGTCTCAAGCTATATACATTAATTACTGTTACTCTGAACTGACCAGGTAGGTAGCAGAGGAGAAAGCAAACCACACTGTTGACATACACTTAAAAAAATGTATTTTCAAAGTGGTCAGTACAGGATCATTTAAATCACACCAAAAAGGAAAGCTATAATATATTTTTTCTCTGGCTTAACTCAGAACCAAAGAACTTGGGGATCTTTGAGTGCCTGGATGCAGACAGAATGTAATGGGGGAAAGGAGGTGGATTGTGGCAAGTAGCTTACAGAAAATCCAGGCAAAAGCATAGTTTTCAGTTTTATTTCCCTGGATTCTATCTATTAGAGGATAATTCACCCATCTGATTTATTGTCATGTTTAAACAACTGTCAAGGACTTGAGAAAGCTATGGTTTATATTAAAGGATGGTGAAATAAAATTAGCTTAATTGCTTAACTGAGGAATTTGGCATAATAAAAGATCTAAGGGAGTCTTATAGGCTTACAGGTATGATTCAAAACTGAGCTTACACAAAATGGAAAATACATGGAAGAATGTCAGCACTGCCGCCATTGGCTAGGGAAACTTGGCGATTCAGTTTCCATGAAAAAATATAGGAAGGTTTACAGCTTCCCATCTTGCTTTGATTTGACCTAAAGAAAGAAAAATCTGAAATTACCCAAAGGTGTTTTGCGTGTATGTGTGTGTGTGTATATGTGCGTGTTAGTGCTTTTTTTAATATCTTGGAAGTCTGCACTTGTGATTATTCATGTATTTGCATTAGACACTCCAGCCCATCTGCTCCGTTGTGCTCTACAGGTTCACTAGAGACTTAAAAACATAACAGTTAAATTTATTAGGAAACCAATGATTACTTTAACCAAACAAAATGATGATTTTTTTCTCTTACTGAATCCCTATCTAGAGACTTTTCTTACATCTTATGTTAAGCAAGGTGATTTACATTCATTATATGCACTACGTGCAGGCATTGGCATGAATCCCAATTAAGGCTAACTTTAAGGACATCTGCATGGGTGTGTGCTAAAATAGAACAAGATTTGTCCCAAAAGTGAGCTAATAGAAGATGCTGGTGATTCTTCTTGTGAAGAAAAGAGGGAACTTTATTTTTAAGCTCAGAGCATGCTTTTTTGTTCCAGGACTGACATAGCTCTTGGAGGGCACTTCTTTTACTTACACATTTACTTGAGAGAATCTGTAAAATTCTTGTTTTGGTGACTGGGATGATTAGGAGACACCACTTCATGCTCATCCTGTACCTGTCTAGTTACATAAATGTATGGAACTGGTCCCACTCTTGCTAATCCATGTTTCCTACAAAACATACATCAGATCTCATCAGTTACAGCAATGGCTTTGATTTATAATTAATTATCTGTTATGTAAGCCTTTCCTACACTTACAGTTGACTACGTCATCCCATGCGCTCTCTCTATTAAAAATGGAAGACATATTAGGCAGTTTTGAAGCAGAGGAGGTACTGCTGGGAAAAGCATAGGTGAAGTAAGGCTGGGATGGAAGAGTGTTAGAAACATAATAAGATGTTGGAGGTCTACAGATAAACTGTGATCTTAATGAAATACCAGCACAGAGTAATTACAAGCTAAGGGTTTATGTATTTGCCTTTTTTTTTTTTTCATACCTAGAAATGTAGTTTAGTTTATATCTTGTTGTGTTCATGATGTATTTACAGGCAAAGAAAGGAAACTATGCTTTTCTGTGGGATGTTACAGTGGTGGAATATGCTGCACTGACAGATGATGAATGCTCTGTGACGGTCATTGGAAACAGCATCAGCAGCAAAGGATACGGAATTGCACTCCAGCATGGAAGCCCCTACAGAGATCTTTTTTCCCAGAGGTAAACCAAAACAAAGCTTGTTTTATATGATTCTTTTCTACTGCCAGCGTGGCAATCCCATTGGCGGTTCACTTCAGTGTTGGCATTGACCATTTATTGAATAAACCTAATTCTCTTCCTTCTGTGACAGCAGAAAGGTTATGAATTCAGGCTTCAGCAAAGCTGCTACTTCTGCTCCATGTGAATCTGCTTAGAGAGGAAAGGACTGGAGATGGTGTGTGTGACCTCACACCTCCAGGCAGCACTGGCCCTGGCAGAAAAAGGACCGATGTCCCTAGAGCTCTGTATGATCTAGGGGAAAGATAAAAGAGAGATTTTGGATTCCTACTATGTTTTCAGGCTATGAAGCAATGTATTTCATGCAGCAAGCAAGTAATAATGTCTCAGTTTATCCTTCAGGGTGGAGAGGCAGGTTGCAGCCTCACAATAGTACAGGAAAACAAGAATTGTTGAGTATTGCATGGGACTGCCAGGACTTACGATACCTGTGGCATTTCAGTGATCTCTGAGCTATCAGTTGTGAGTGTCTTTTTCATGTCAGCATGTACACTGAAAGGAAGACATGCCGTTGTGCAGTTTCATGTGGTCTTAGCAGAAGGTGAGCACTTCTCCAGGTGGGAAACTGGCACAAGATTTCCCCATCTTGCTCATTCTTTAGAAGGAGTACAGCTCCAGCTGTGTAACAAAAAAGAAAGCTGCCTCAAGAGAAATGGTTGTTAGTAAACAGTAAAAACAGTTATCAAACCAAATCCAAAATGAATCATTCATGGAGAGAAGGGACACTTCACAAGAGGCAAAACAATGATTAATTAGCAACTGTTAACACAGTAATTCTAGCATGAAGTAACAGCATTGGAGTAAAATCCTTTTGAATAAGCCACATTTGCTGAAGTAAATGAGTTGGTTGGTGCTTAAACAGATTTGTATTAAGTGGTGCACAAATAGTAGCATGTTTAGTCTCATATGATTTTGAAATTATTGTGGGAGAGCAGCAGTGGAGTGGGCTGCATATTTCACTAGTGGGACCAGCTGTTGCAGCTGAATGTAAACAGATCAGCCATGACTAACTGGAATATGGTGGTTTCCCTTGGGAATGCTTCTTGCACTGCAATGGAATTTCTGAAAATCCCTTTTCTAGTTACCTAGTAAAGTTTACCTGCTGCTGTGACTAGAAAGATACTCTATATGGCAGAGTTTCAGATGAATCCTACGTGGGGGTGGTGGATGGCAAGAAACTTCTGAACTGTGGGGAAGTACATGTAAGAGGAAAATAATGGAAAGATGTAGAAAAATTGTCATTGAATTTAATGCTTGTGTTTTCAAATTTCTGCAGGATCTTGGAGTTGCAAGAAAGTGGAGATTTGGATGTTCTTAAACAGAAATGGTGGCCACGTATGGGGCGTTGTGATCTGAATAGCCACACCAATGCACAGACAGATGGGAAGGCACTCAAGCTGCACAGTTTTGCAGGCGTTTTCTGCATTTTAGCAATAGGCCTTCTTCTTGCCTGCTTGGTGGCAGCATTGGAGTTGTGGTGGAACAGCAACCGTTGTCATCAAGAAACTCCGAAAGAGGTCCATAACTTTTATTCTTACCACAATTAAAAGATTAAAAGTAGAAAACACAAAAGAGAGAGCAAGTGGAAGGCATGGGATTTTAGGTGCTCTCATACAATAAATCTGATTTATTTTGATTCGCCATACTAAGCTTTGCATATAACTTTTTGGGTGGTTGTTTCTAAACAAACAAGAAACCACAACATGTCTTTTGTGCACATGGAAGGTGCCAAACTGACAGCCCTGGAGACTAAAGTCCTCTATTTATTTATAGAGCAGATACAGCATGGGCAGCAGCAGTGCAAACTTCCCCACATTGCCTCACCAATGTGCCTCAACCCTGACCTGGAGAGACCACCTTTAGGGGTAAGAGAGTAGTTCAGAAACATGCCCTCGGCCTCTCTGCTGTGAGTGACAGGGAGGCCAGTCATGGGCACCCAGTCGTGCCAACTGTGGTGATGTTTTCTCTGATCTAAGACCCCATCCACTGGCTGTGAGAACTGTGTCCAGCTTGCACAGGCTATACAGCTGCCAGCAGCTGGTATTCATTTTCCTTCATGGCTGACCTAGGCTAAGTTTGAAGAAGTACATAAGCAATTAAAAATAAACCATCTAGTTATTACTGAATAAGCCATATTGCCATGACACAGTTTAAATGCTTCCTTTCTTTTGAAATCAATTTTATTTCTAAACCTAGGGGCCTCTGAGTAAACTGATTTTCATATGACATTTTATGTAGGAATATACATCTGAGAATTTCTTGTTTTTGACATGTTTTGCCATGGTAGCAAGTAATAGTTAGCAATGCTATGATAGAATAATCAGTCCATACTCAGATCTGTTTTGCATGAAGCCTGTATTTGTTTACATAGATTAAATGTTTAACAAACTAACCTTTTGTAATTTCTGAAACAGAGGCATTTGTAGGTGCTTTCATCTTGGAACAGATGTTTGTTACAACTTAATAATAGCAGTGAGCTGCACTACAGCTGGAAAATAGTACATAGCCCATCAATTCCAATCTATGTTTCTCAGATTGCCAGGAGTATTACAATAATTGACGTACCTATCACCTGTAAGCAATTCTGCCAAATGGGATCTGAAGATATATGTTGCAGTCTGTAATGTTGTGAAATATTTATCAGTAAGATTTCATTCCTCCGAGTTCCTGCTTCTCCCATTTGAATTCATCCATCAAGTGTCAGTGATAAACATCTATATCGTGTTTGTGGGACAAAGCTGCAAAGTCACTCGCCTGTGGCTCCACAGCGTATAATAGCAAAAGAGAAATTTTGATTAAAAGGAAGCATGTCACCATGTTGCACAATGTAGCTCTCCAAAAGCAGCCACAGAGAGAGCACAAGTAGGCAGTCTTGCTTGTAAACAAGCTTTCAAATGAACGTAAGTGCACATTTAATTGTTCTTTGGTTAAATACTGTAGCATTTGCCCTGCTGCTTTGTAGAATTCACTCCACATTAGCATTACTAAGGCCTAAACCTTAGCAGTAGACTATTTAGTTACCACTGCGAAAGCCCAGCAGGGAAAGGGGCAGGGACCTTGTCTAAAGTGTCCTAACGTTACATGTACACAAGTATTTGTCTTGCCACAGTCTGGAGTGCATTCTCCTTTCAGCACTCAGGGACACACCTTTGCACATTTTTGTGGAGTGAGATGAGGATATGCCCCAGAGGCAGGATTTCATACAGGTAGGGTGAAAAAAAAAATCAGCCATTTTTATTGTAAGGAGTTTTAAATACTTAATTTCCATCTCTAAGGAAGGATCTGTCTTCCTGACTTTAAATGTTTTCTTTATTCCCATCTCCTTCATTTCTCTTTTTTTCTCTCTCTCTCTCTTTTTTTTTTTTTTTTAATCTGTTACAGAGATTATTACAGATCCCTGTATGCCTTCCCCACCCCTCTTATCACCTAAAATACTGTCTTTTCTCCCCTCCCCACTCCCCTCCGCTTTCCCCTTCCCTACAGTGTGCTGGAGGCTGCTCCTCACATCCTCTTTTGCAGTTTTCATGATGAACGGTAAAATATTTTCAAGTTTCCCTCTTGTAAAGTGTACTACAGTTACCCATATGGTAAAGCTGTACTCAGGAAGATCATGTGTGTGGGAATGAGCCTGCCCATAGAGCATAGCTGGTCTAGGGTTAAGCAGGACAAGTTGAAGTCAGGCACAACACAAGTGAACAGGCTCAGGAAAGGCTGGTCTTGTGGGTGCTGCTGAGAGAGAGGGAACAAAGTCGGTGGGAGTCCCGGGACAAGTAGGTGTTAAAGCTGAAAGAGAAAGTAAGCGTTCCAGACAAAAGGGCACCAGGGATGAGGGTTCACAAGTTCAAGCAGATGGAGGAGAAAGCATAAGGATGGCTTAAGGGGCAGACAGGGTTGTACATCATGAGTGGTCCTGAAAGAGGACAGGCTGGTGCAGAGAAATGCAGGAGGCTAAAAGCATCTCTGGAATAGGTCAGACTAGCTGGAGAGAATGGTGACCTTAAAATACATTTTAATAAATTAGTGAAAGGATGTAGCAAACATTTCTTAGTAGATTAGTTAGCAGAGATATTTAGTTAGTCATGAGGAGGGACTGAAGTGGGATTCCTGATAGCTACTGTAATCAAGATAGGAACCAAGTTTTAGAAGAGATGACAATATGCAGATTGGATGAAGATTTTCAATTTATTTAAGGGAAATAAGTTTCAAAACTTTGGAAAGGATGGGTCCAGGAACTCCTCTGCTCAAGCTACAAGTCAGGAACAGTAACTGAGCTGTGGGGACTAAAAGGAAAAAGAGGATTTTATTTCAAGGAGTACTGTATTTAGGGATATCTCTTTTCTCTAACTACATACATGTATTATCCAACATTTCTACAGTGGTGGCCATAAGAACAAAGCTACAACATGAATAGCACATACATATCATTAAAATCTGCCTGTTTTCAGCATCTGATACTCCATCCAAGTCGTTAGTTCAGTAACAGCTGCCAACTTAAGCCATGCTGCTGACTTTATTTTTCTTCTGCTTCTTTTGGTAAGGCTGTGGAAAAAAAATAAGTATTGTTATATCACCTAAAAATTGTGGAAATTAGAATTTCTCCTGACCATTTTCTTCTGTGAAGAGCAGAGCCTCTGAAGGTCACAGAAGGGGCCAATACTTTTGCAGACCAAAATTGTACTTTGGCTTTGGTAGTCACCTCATGCAGAAAAAGAATAGCATTCTCTGCAATAGCCATCATAAAGAAAAGGAAGCAGTCAGAGACTACTGTGACCCTTATGCTGTTAGGAGCTTTGTAAATCAACTGTAGAAAATTGGATTCAGGTTTGAATGAGGGGTCATCATAACTTGCAGAGCCATTTTATAAGTTCCTGCTTTTGGCTTGACCCACACGTTGGTTCTATCATGCCAGCTGGGGCCAATTCAAAAAAACAGAGATATTGGGAAGATGAATATTCAACCACTCTGACAGATTCATGGCAGGGTTGCGTGGCTATGCAGCTTGCTGGAGTGAAAGAGAGCATTTTAGAGACTATAATTTTGTCTGTTGAGGGTCAGCATGAAGCCTGTAGCCAAAAGAATGTGCAAAACTTTCGTTATCATTGGACAAATGTTTTCAGCTGACATTAAGGTGATGATATTTGCCAGCTCCTAGGGTTTTCTGTTCCTCTTTGTATTCCTATGGCTTTTGTAGAGATGATCCTGAGCCAATACACTGAGATGTTCAAGGACTCAGAGGTCTGTGTGGTATAAATCTCAACTCTTAATTACAGTGAGTGTAAAAAATGCAGTGTCAACTATGTAACTGGGGGAGTTTTCTTTTGAATCCTGACAGCCTATCTTGGACTTTACAAATATAGATTGTATTGGCGTTATATATATATATTTTTTTTTAGCTCTCCTCAAAATTAAATAAGTTAAGTATAGTTTCAACCCATTAAGTCTGTTCATTAAGATGAACTTCTAGAAAAGATGGACTTTATTTTCCCAAAGCACTCAATTGCATTTGGTTCACAATTCTGTCATGCAATCAATAGTGAAATTTCTTGCTTCAAGAGTGAAGACTGGGTTGGTATTTTTGTTAGTTTGTTTTTGTTTTTCCTTTCAGGATGTAGATACAGGATATTCTGATTCTATTTGAAGTCGATTTGTAAAAACGCTTCTAATGATTTCTTATGTGAAAATCATAATGTGATCCTTTCTAATGCTTCCTTATCAAATCAGATTAACAACAGAAAGATTAGCTCCAACAATATCAGGAAAATTGTATGGCTGCAAGACCATGCCAAGTTCATCTTTTAAGGTTCAAGTTTGTCATCTATTAAATTTGGAAAGATATTTGGTAGTATTTAAGTGCCCTTATTACTTTCTCATTCAGGAAGATCTACATTTGGTTATCTTTTTCAAATTAGATTTTATAGAAATTATTATCACCTTTTCATAATTACTGTTAATGCTCAGCCATCCTATACTCACTGTGAAATTTAGTCAGCTCATATATTTATTGTTAAAATCTCAAGTTTTCACAGTCTGCAATACCTAATCTTTAGACTCTGATAGACTTGAGAGATCTGGAGAATTGTAAAATGAAAATTGAAAATTAACATTGGAATATCTGTTCAGTCACTCTGCTCTACGCCCCTTCTGGATAGCTGAACAATCACACAGTTATTGAAACCCAGTAGCATAGAAATGTCAAGCTTTAATTATCTCTGTATTTCTATATCTTTTAGTCCCATGCATTTATTTCATGATCTCAGTAAACTCTGATGTAATTTGCATCATTTAACTGCCAAAACCTTCACCACATCATCACGTTGTTCCTATCTTTTATTTCATTTGATGGACGGTTTTCAAACGTTCATTGTTGTTTTGATCCAGTATAGCTGCTTACAGCAACGGACTCAGAAGCATCCTTTGTGATTTATCAGCTATGTCTTATTGCAATGTACAGTTCCCCTTGAAGTTTATTACCTCTGAGATCTCTTCAGAACTATTAAGAAATCACTCCTTGTTCACCCACATACTGTACTCCAAAACAATAAAGACTTAGAAGCAAAGATTATATATCATATTATTCATGGAAATAAAAGTTGAATTTTTCACTTTTCACAAGATGTATTCACTAAAAACAAATTAACAGACAACCTCATATCAAAGAAAATTAGTCACTTTAGGATATTATACAAGATAATATCTTTGCTGGGAATTGATACTTGTTGCATCTTTCATAAAGGATGAGATTGATTTACATATTGTTAATACAGATCTTGAAAGATGATGTTAGAATGATCTCAAGAAATTCTTGGTTTGATTCTTTCTCAGCTCTGAAAATATATATTATAAATCAGAAATGTATTTTCTCCAGACTGTGCTACTCCTAGCAATGCGAGTGTTTCATCAGCTGTACCCAGTGTGTTTGTGATTTTGTAGTGCATGAAGACTATTATTTTTTTAGTGAATAAGGAATAACAACATTTTCCATGTACTCATTTGCTACTAGCCACTGCCTCATATCTTGTGTCCTGTTTATAATTCATTAACAATCGTGATCTTTGCAGCTTCGTTTCCTAACCTGCTGTTGCTTCTGCAAAATCATTTTGTTTGACATAATCTTTTTGCTTTTGTTCTCACTTTTTATTTTCACATTATTAAAAGGGAGCAGCAATTCAAATACTGTCTGGAGTGGGAACAAACTTGTGTACTAGTAACGGCATCTTATCATTACTATTACATTGGCTACTCCCAAGACTATTTATTTTAAATATTTTTGAATCTCAAAAAGCTTAGACTCCACAATATTTTCTAGCTCTGTAGTATAGCGGGAGGTGTAGCAAAATTACTCTGAAGATTACCACAAGTATACTGCCAGTGTTCAGGATGAATGAAAGAAAGACTTTATCTCTTTCCATGGCAGCTTTACATGGTCTGCCTTAAATTCCCCTGCTCCCATGTTTGATGATACACAAATTCCAGCCTACCTCAAAAATCCATACTTCCAGCTTTAGCAGTCATGAATGTTACTCACTAGGACTTTCCTCTGGCATTAGAAGAATATGAAACCCAGTGTACCTCAGAAATGGAAATATGAGCTAACAGATATGAGTCCAGTGGATCAAAATTTGTCACAGCATAGAATTGTGATCTGCACTATATTCTCCTACTATTATTCCATGGCAATTGAGGCTTCCATACCTTCAGCATGGTGTCAGCAATGTTGGTTTTGATTATTAAAGTCTTATGCCTTCACCACTATTTTCACTACCCTCGTCTTTCTCTTTGTCACATCATTTACATTGTCTCCTTTGTTATCTTTTTATCTGACAATTTGATTTCCCCTGGGATGGTTCCTTTTGTGAGTGAAAGGAAACATGAGATCATCAAGCTGATGTTTTATTTTCCATTCATTGCATGTCTTCTATATTTTATCTTTTTTTAAATTATTTTTTCTGTATTTTTATGACATGTCTGAAATCTTTGTACATTTTTTGCTCAGTTGCATATAAGTGATCATTTGTTTGTACCACTGTATTGTATTCTACTTTTCTAAGAAAAAAAAATAAAGTGTTTTTGGGGAAATAAATAATGCAAACACTGGCAAAATAATGCATTTTAATGCCATCTATAAATTCAGTTTCAAACTAACTTTGAATATAATAAAATGAAAAGCTTCAGCTGGCATTTTAAAATCAGCAAAGTAGCATTAGGAATCAGTCATTCCAGAATGCAAAATTTAATGTTATTTGATGACAAAGTACAAGCTCAAAGTATCAGTTAGAGTCCAAAAAAAGAGGATATTTATATTGCCTTGTACAAGAACTCAAGTGTACCTTAACCAATTCAGTGTTGTCTTTTTACATGAATGAAGAAACAAGATTTTCTCCTTAGAGGTCCCTAATGGTGATGCAGATATTCTGTAATACACAAGCAGTGTGTTCATCCAGAATCCAACGCAATCGATAAAGTCTTGCTATTGATCACCATAGATCTATGTGAAGGTCATAGTGGATTAAAAGTGATGTGTCTACCCCATGACTAAGGACATTGGGCCCAGGTTCCCAACACCCACAGCAGTATTCAAGCATTTGTTTGGTTCCAGCATATGTCCCTAGGCGCAAGGAAGGGATTTTTGTGTTTTGTTTAATTTTTCTGTCAGTCATATAAGAAAAATTGGATTCTTAAGGATATGATCTAGACTTACTTAGTATAAACCCTAAGGAAAAAAATAAAAGGAAAAACTGAAGAGAAATAAGTTTAAAAAATGCATGTTGCTATACAGAGAACTCAGAAAGAAACAACCTGTTTAAAGTCCCAGTTTGGTAATGAATTTAATGCAACTTAAGCAAGTACTTATATGACCTGTCCCAGAGAACTTCTGTGGTTACTCATGAGCTTATGTGTTTTACTGAATCAGAGCCTTAATGTGTCAGATTCTTTTAGATTCTTCACACAATGTTTACAGAGCTAATGTTTGATATTTTATCTCAGCCTGAAGTGGTATTGGAGAGTTGGCTTCTTGAGGAGGTTTGAATGTTCAATAATAATAAAGTCAGTTAAAGATCAAAATAATAATAATAATAAACATAAAATATGACTGCTTCCTCAAGATTTGTTTGTTTGTTTGTTTGTAAAGGGACCTGGATATTGATCCAACTAATTGTTTTAAATGTGTACATAAATTAAATAAGATCTCACCCAGCTTAAATTTCCATTCACCTTAGATGTTAAGATTAAACTTAAGTTTCTTTGGAACCAGCATGTCTAAAGCATAAACTGGAATTTACATGTGTTCTGAAGTGATCTTTTGGAGATATCTATAGTTTTTGTGCAGCAAAATCTGTTTAGGACAGACAGGTAGCATATTTTAAACTTGGTCAGATTATTTTAAAAGCTATTGGCTTCTTCTTGAAGAAGAAAAATATTAGTGCTAGTAACTTACTGTACAGTAATAACAGGCAATTTATAAATCTATTTGTCCATTGAAATTAATCATTCTTATAATACCCGAAATAGCCTGTTTCCTGTTCTCAATATTAGAAAAATATTAAAGAAACCCAAGTGCTACTATTGTGGAGAATAGATCTTTTTGCTCGACATAACAAGTGGTATTTTTTTTTTTTTCAGAAGTATTCATTATCTGAGGGTTCTCTTTTGGAACACCGTTGGACAGATTTTCAATATGCTGAGCTATCTAATGATTTGTCCATTTATTTTCTCATATTGAAATAGGAGCTTGGGCAGTTGCCCTCCATGGGGATGCAGAAACCTTTAAAAAAAATAGTTTTAAAGTAAAATACACATGACCAATAGTCAGGAGTAATAGTTTTCTAAGACTTTTATGTAGCTGAAGCGGAGGAGGAGAGGCTTTGTAAGGCAACTGTTGCTGGGCACCAATGGGGTTGCAGAAGCAACTTCTTGTGTCTCCTGTGCCACATCTCTCTGGTACTGTGGCATGATAGGAAAAATGGGAATTTTTGAGATTTGGATTTGACTAGGCTAGAATGGTGAAGAAGGATGGTGACCAATCTGTTATGTCTGATGCTCCAGTAGCATAAATTAGACTGGTAAAGGGTAGCGCTGCTTTGTTCTGGGCTCAGTGGAGTGAAAAATTACTTCCTTTATGAAGTAGATAGTAATTTAAAAGTTGTGTAAAAGAATGTAAAGAATCGCCTTATTTTCAGTGAGTTTTGGAACAGAATGTTGGTGAACTTAATCTTTGCTTTGTAAAAGAATAATTTGTCATCTCGTGAGGTGATTTTCTGATGTCATAGTTGAATTCTGAAACCACCACCATCTTCAAGGACAATCCTGTTTGGTTGCAGTGACTAGAATTTGCTATTTCAAACCAGAAGTATAACAAGTAATAAGTATATGTTTGCTAAAAAGAGTGAAATATTAAATATACTGTTAGCCTCACTGTTTTGATCCTTCTTTTTCTCCCCACATCTTCCTTTCCCTTTCTATCTGGAGATGGCCAATGATGTGAGGCTGGGCCTCAGAAGTATGGTGAGAATTTATAATAAACATACAGATAATTGGTTTGTTGTTGAAAATGCTTGCACAGATGAATCCTTGCTAGTTTTCTCCTCATCATTACCTGTCCCTGGAAGTCCCCTTGAACCTGATCTTTGTGTTGTTGTAAATGCCTGTAACTATAATATATGCAGAGTGTACACAGTAAAGGTTTCCCCATGTCCATTCTCCTAAAGAGTTCCTTTGCAGAGACATTGGCATGCTTACAGCATTCATTCACTACTGCATTTTGCTGCTTGTGTTGAAAAATGTTTCTGTGCATTCTCTTATATCCATTTATTTTTAACCTCATGAAAACTGTGGAAACATCTGTATAATGTGAACGAGTCATTCATTTTCTTTGTAGTTACCAGCTTCTAATGCTTGTGAACCAAGTTTGGTAAGGACTTTAAAGCTTGAATACTTCAGCATGATGTTAAATGTCCCCTTCTGTATTAACAATTGAGGATGATATCACAGCCTCTTACCTTCTGGGTTTGAGTCTACTGCTGGTTGTGAGGACTAGCCACTATTTCTGTGTAATTGCACTTAGCTCGTGGATTACACCGAATGTGGGAGCAGGTCATTGAAAGAGACTAGGGGTCTACCTGCCACTACCTAATTTGTAACAGATGTGCCATTGTTACTCTTTCCTCCATATTTATTCACACTGTGATGTATAATGAGGTTGCAGTTGAAGGGGAAGAAAAGGAAAAGAAAAGAAAAAAAAAGATGTTCAGCTAGTTTAAATTGGTGTGCATCATGTGCTTTGGTGGGGAACTTACTGCCCTCCTGGCTAAAGCTTACAGGCCCAGACTATGGGACAGTCGTAACCATCTTCAGAATTAGTTCCCTGGCTAGATGTGGCTGCAGGTTAAATGAAGCTGCCCTGAGCAAGGGGGACAAGGTGAGTGTGGGAAGATGTGGGCTACTTCATGAAACTCCTTGCTGCAACAGCAGTTCTGTAGCGAGTCACTGCCGCTTTGTTGGTCTTTGGCTTTTTGTTAATAGATTCTTAATTTTACCAATTATAGGTATTTTTTTGGCTGTGGGAAGGTGTGAGTGAAATTTGGCGGTGTATCTGAAGGATTTTTCCATCACATTTACATCATCTTTGTAGTATTCCTTAATTTATTTTTTTCAGGTTTCACACAGGGAATGAATATTGCTGTCTCTTCATAACAGAATTTCTGCTCTCTGGTGGAGGAGCACCTCTTCTACATAGTTTTTAATGAAGTTTTATTTCATTGAAGATGATTACACATCAATTGAAATTAATATTTTGCAAAACTCATTTATTTTCTTCTTTCAATTGGGTAACAGTCTACTGGACCTTAACCAATGTTGGTCTCAATACATTCTTCTAACAGCTGTTTTATGGATGATAGCTTACTTAATTGCTTATTTAAAATACATGGTATTGTTTCCACCAGAAGCTTGATTGCAGAATTGGGCCTATTTATAAAAGTAGGCTTTCAAGTAGGCTCTTGAGGTGCATCTGTACTTATTTCTCGTAAGATATTGTTATGGTCAAACCAGCATCTAGCAGAGTACACTCAGAAACCACTCTGCAAATTTTATGTAACATTAAGTGCTGTTTGACTAGGTCAGTTGCCTGTGTTAAATTAATGACAGCAAACATACATCATCGCTGCATCTGTTTACACATCTGTCTGTGTTTCACTGCATTGTCGACTGCAGAATCTCGAAAAATAATGACTATGGCAAAGAGATTTGTATTAAAAAGGGGCTATTTGTGTTATATAACACCATACTGTGTTTTCATTGTTTTGCAGCACATCTATTACTTATATCTTCACTGCTTTTTCTTCCTGAGCAAGCCAGTTATGTCTGGTTTTGCCACTTTGTCGCAATCTCACAGAAAAAAAAAAAAATTGCAGTTCTACATATGCAGTAGTTGCAGCTGAAAGCAGTGATAATGACCCTCTATGAATACAGCATTTAAAAATAAGTCTTTTCTTAAACAAATGGGGATCTGCTGCCTCTTCATTTCTCTTTAACAAGCTAAATGTTTGAGTCAATGATGTCTGAACCACACCAGACAGAGGCTGGGAGCTGGGTGGAGCTGTCAGTTTCCATACTGAGCTGAGAGAACAGGGGAAACCTCCCTGTTTTGCTTTTATTTCTCTGCTTTGTTTTTCAGTTATGCAGTTTGCCTGTCTGTTCATGGAAGTGTCCCAGAAACTTCCTTCCTGCGTAGCTGGGTACATGTGTGCCTTCCATCATTCTGTCTCTCATGACCACTGATGCTTGTGTCTTCCACGTATGCATATGGGTTAAGAGGTGTTGCTACATGGATGGGAAGGGGACTGGCCTCTGACCTGGCCAAGGTCACAAGAGGGGATGTCTGTCTGAGGCTGGGGCTTGACTCAACTTTTGAACCCCAGTCCTACTTACAAAATTGCCTAATTTTCTAAAATAGTTCTTTCACTGAATGGAAACTCATTGTTAACATTTCTCTCTTGCTTTGGTTTCATCCACTCACTGAAAGATTATCCTTCATATTGTCACCCAGGACAGAAACAACCAAACAAAACAGAAATGTTCTGTAATTGGTGATTAAGACTATATTGCTCTGAAAGATCTCAAGCATTATTTTCAGCATATCTCCTGAGCCTTATTAAGAACTGCATTAACAGGCTTTTTTAATATTTGGCACAGTTTTGTGCGTCTGACCGGGAGGTATCTGCACATTCATGGTAGTCCCTCCATGTATGTGCCTGCCTGCCCATATTGGCTAATTTTTTTTATTTTTATTTTTGTGTGTGTACATCTGTGCTTGATATTTAGAGTCAGGATCATCGGTCTTATACTTATCCTCTAGTGTGCTGTGGTTTAATTTGCATGTGTGGGGTGCAGACATGGTTCATTACAGTTTTGGAATAGTTCTAGCATTGAGTTTCTCCAGCTATCCACTCTGTGCATTTGGCCCTGCCAGAACTACTTCATCTGCTTGTAATCTCTAGAATCTGAGGTTAACTGACTCCAAAACTCCCAAGTAGTTTCACGTTCTTTTAATGTGACTGCCCACACGCTTTTCTCGGAGCCCACTGTCAGAAGTCACAGAAAATAAAACAGAAAATACAGTGATTACACTTTAAGTCATCCTATCAGCTTTTTTATCTCACCATAATTTCTCTCTGCACGATAAAGCCAAACTTAGTTAGCTCTGATAGGGAGTCACAGTTTCTTGCAGTCACTGTTGTGCAGAGCTAGTCGTTTTTAGATAATTCAGGTAAGCATCCTTCAAATCCATGCAGACACTTGCCACAGCATGCTCCTGCTGTCAGTCATAGACCATTGAACCTGTCGCTCAGGATCAAGTGCTTAGGATGTATCAGAAACATGCCCTTCATTTACCCTTACGGAACTCAGACTCATTGGGGAAGAATGACATTTAAATTGGTATTTATGAATAAGATAATTTCCTGACCAGAAGCAATGTTTGGGTAGCTGTTTTCCTTAAGCTGGAGAAGGATAAGCCTGTGTTTATAATTCATTTTCCTTACACGTGATATTTTTTTCTTCCTTTCACTGATTAACTTCTTCAGCTGTTCTATTTGTAGCATAACA